TTCAAGTGATTCTCCTGCCTCAGCCTCCAAAGCAACTGGGATTACAGGCATGAGCCACCATGCTTGGCTAATTTTTATATTTTTAGTAGACATGGGGTTTCACCATGTTCATCAGGCTAGTCTCGAACTCTTGTTCTCAAGAAATCCGCCCGCTTCTGCCTCCCAAAGTGTTGGGATTACAGGCATGAGCCACTGCACCCGGCCTTCCCAAGCCAGTCTCAAACTCTTGGGCTCAAGTGATTCTCCTGCCTCAGCCTCCCAAAGTGCTGGGATTACAGGCTTGAGCCACCTCCCCTGGCCAAAGTTTGCCTTTTTTAGAGATGGAGTCTTGTCTGCTGCGCAGGCCAGAGTACAGTGGCATGATCTTGGCTCACTGCAGCCTCTGCCTCCCGGGTTCAAGCGATTCTCTTGCCTCAGCCTCCCAAGTAGCTGGGATTACAGGCACCTGCCACCACGCCCCGCTAATTTTTTGTATTTTTAGTAGAGATGGGGTTTCACCATCCTGGTCAGGCTGGTTTTGAACTCCTGTCTTCATGATCCACCCACCTCGGCCTCCCAAAGTGCTGGGATTATAGGTGTGAGCCACCGCGCCTGGCCCAAACTTTGCCTTTTTTAACAGATGTTTCTTTAGTAACAGTTGAGTCCCTACTACGTGTTGGGCACCATTCTAGGTTCTGGGGACATAGCAGTGAACAGTGGGACAGAAATCTCTGCCCTTTTGGTAGTGGGGACAGACAAATATTGCGTTGGGCAGGGGTCCTCCCTATGAAATGTGCAGGAGGAGATGAAAAGGAGAGAAGCGTTTCCAGCAAACGAGTGAGGGATGGCTTCTTGGAAGTGGTGACATCTAAGGAGAAGCCTGGAAGTGGGGAGAGGCTGGGCCGAGGAGGCAGCACACAGGAATGTGTCTGGCCTGCGGGAAGAGCAGCAAAGGAGCTGGAGGCTTAGGGTCTGAACAGTCCCCAGGGGACAGAGGGGCGGGAAGAAATGAGATCTGAGGACACACAGATCACGGAGGCCCTGGAGAGAACTCGGCATTGATTCTGTAGGAGCCTGGAGCTTTTGAGCAAAGGAAGGGACGTTCCACCTTGTGCGTTTGTTTGTTTTGTTTTGTTTTGTTTGTTTTTAAATTAAGACGGGGTTTCACCATGTTGGTCTGGCTGGTCTTGAACTCCCGACCTCAGGTGATCCACCCGCCTTGGCCTCCAAAGTGCTTGGATTACAGGCATGAGCCACCGCGCCCAGCCATCTTGTGTGTTTTTGTTTTGTTTTTAGAGATGGGGTCTCACTATGTTGCCCAGGCTGATCTTGAACTTCTGGGCTCAAGCAATCCTCCCACCTCGGCCTCCTAAAGTGCCTAGATCACAAGTGTGAGCCACTGCGCCGGGCCCCACCTTGTGTTTTAACAGGATCCTTCTGCTACAGTGGGGTCAGTGTGCCTTGGAGAGAGGCAGGACCAGCCCTTAGTCACCCAGCAGGCACCCTGTTCTCCGGCCAGTCCAAAGCCTCAGCAGGGTGGGGCCGTCCGGGAGAGCAAAGTGCAGCCAGGGTGGGGCAGTAGCAGCCCGGGCTCCTGGCCAGAGTCTGCCCTGGGCGTGTGTGGCAGGTGTGGGTGAGGCCGAGGTCTTAACCCTGCCCTGCCAGGGCGGCAGGAGCCAGAAACAGCCCCCGAGGCTGTGCTTGTCTGGAAAGGGCACCTGGTGTGTGGGTGGGGCCCACACAGTCCCTGGTGGTTAAGGCTTGGGAGCCTGAATTCACAGCTTCACCCTGTTCCTCACTAGCTGTGTGACTGGGCAAGTCACACACCCTCTCTGGGCCTTCTAGTCCTCACCTGCAAAATTAGGATGAAAGAGTGGCTTTCTGGATGAGCTGCAGTGAGAATAAAATGAGTGACTTTGGGGAAGGGGCTTAGGGCCCCTGATCCACCTGAAATGCCTGGTAAGAGGGAGATGGCATAATTATGTAAATTTGGGGGTGCCAGGGTTACCCCAGGTCTCTACCCACAGCTGAGTCTGCCTAGGGACTTTCCCTGCCCTGATTTCCCAACGTCAGTGTCATGCCCCCAGCCCCCAGCTCTCCTAGAGACAGAGCCTTTGCGGGAGGCGGGGGTGTTATAATTTCTCTCCCCGGAAACCTCTGACCACCAACTTCCCCATTTCAGGAAAAAGCCCAGTGGGGGTGGGGTGGCCAGGAGGCCAGCGCTTCCCCTTCGCCTGTGTGAACTTGGGCAAGTCACTTCCTGTTAGAGTTCCTGTCTGGGCCTGAGTTTCCTCACTGGGACAGAGGGGATTGAACCTCCCAAGGGGCTGGTGGGAAGGTCCAGAGGGTTGTAGCTTTCCTGGGCCCCAGCACTGCCTTTGAGACGGATGCATACCGTTGCCGAGCTCTCGGTGTGTGCTGGGTGCTGCACTATGCACTTATTTTTTTTTCTTTTTCTTTTTGAGACGGAGTTTTGCCCTGTCGCCCAGGCGGGAGTGCAGTGTCGTGATCTCAGCTCACTGCAGTCTCCACCTCCTGGGTTCCAGCAATTCTCCTGCATATCAGCCTCCTGAGTAGCTGGGACTACGGATGCGCACCACCACACCTGGCTAATCTTTGTGTGTTTTTGTAGAGACGGGGTTTCACCATGTTGTCCAGGCTGGTTTCGAACACCTGAGCCCAAGTGATCCATTCACCTCGGCTTCCCACAGTGCTAGGATTACAGGCGTCAGCCACACACCTGGCTAACAAGCACTTTAGCTGCCCGGACTCATGTACCCCTCCCCACTGCCCTGGAGGTGGGGACGGTCACTCTCCCAGTTCACAGCTAGAAAGCAGAGCTCTTGAGTAGGAACGTCACATGCCTGAGTCACATGAAATAGGTGTGGGGATTTGAACCCAGATCTGGGGCTGTCAGCACCAGTCTACCAACAACTTCCCTGAGGCTGAGTCAGACGCCACCTTTTCCAGGAAGTCCTGCCCGACTCCCCAGGCTGGGGCAGGCGTTCCTTCAGGCACCCCAGACCCTGGGCTCCTTGGCCCTATCCCTGGCTTGGTACCTTCTGGGGACAGCTCTGTCTCCCACACTGGACTGTGAGCCCCAGGAGGGTGGTGCTGGGGCTATGGGTCACTGCTGTGTCTTCATCCCCAGCCCCACCCAACATGGGCCAGACACAGAGCAGGGAGTGTCTGCAGAAGGGCCGCTGGTGCCCTGGGGAGCCAGGCGATGGGTGGGCAGTGGGAAGTCCCTTTGGAGGAGGAGCTCCGAGGTCTGGGATGGGTCCCCAACCTGCTGCAGGTCTCACACTTCCTCCCAAGCTTCAGCTTCCTCCTGAGCGGCCAGTGGTGGTGGGGATGTGTCCGAGCCCCTTGGTAGAGATACTGAGGCCAGGCAGGGGCTGGTCCCCAGTGCAGCTCCGCTCTTGGCCTCCCTCTGGCGCCTCGGTCTTCCTTCCTGCCCTCGCTCTGCTAACCTGCATCCCTCCCTGGTGTTGGCCTCAGCCTCTTCCATCCCTCAGCCTGTCTCTCCATGTTTATCTTTTCCTTCTTATTAGTATTGTGTTGTATCTTTTAATTTATTTTTCATTTAAAAAAGTGTTTTGGCCGGGCGTGGTGGCTCGCGCCTGTAATCCTAGCACTTTGGCCGAGGCGGGCAGATTGCTTAAGCTCAGGAGTTTGAGACCAGCCTGGGCAACATAGTGAAACCTCATCTCCACTAAAACACAAAAAATTAGCCGGGCCTGGTGGCATGCACCTGTAGTCCCAGCTACTCGGGGGACCAAGGCAGGAGAATTGCTAGAACCTGGGAGGTGGAGGCTGCAGTGAGCCAAGATGACGCCACTGCACTCCAGTCTGGGCGACAGAGCAAGATTCCGTCTCTTAAAAAAAATTTTTTTTATGTAGGCGAGGTGTGGTGGCTCACGCCTGTAATCCCAGCACTTTGGGAGGCTAAGGCAGATGGATCACTTGAGCCCAGGAGTTTGAGACCAGCCTAGGCAACTTAGTGAGATCCCGTCTCTACCAAAAAATACAAAAAAATTAGTCAAGCAACGGGCACAGTGGTTCATGCCTGTAATCTCAGCACTTTGGGAGGCTGAGGCGGGCGGATCAACTGATGTCAGGAGTTTGAGACCAGCCTGGCCAACATGATGAAACCCCATCTCTACTAGAAATACAAAAAATTAGCTGGGCATGGTGGTGTATGCCTATAATCCCATCTACTCAGGAGGCTGAGGCAGGAGAATGGCTTCGACCCAGGAGGCAGAGGTTGTAGTGAGCCGAGATCATGCCACTGCACTACAGCCTGGGCGACAGAGCGAGACTCTGTCTCAAAATAAATAAATAAATAAATAAATAAATTACTCTGGTGTGGTGGTGCACGCCTGTAGTCCCAGCTACTTGGGAGGCTGAAGAGGGAGGATCACTTGAGCTCAGGAGGCCGAGGCCGCAGTGAGCTGTTATCACATCACTGCACTCCATCCTGGGCAACAGAGCAAGACTCTGTCTCAAAAACAAAAATTATTATTATTATTAGAGATGGGGTCCTGCTATGTTGCCCAGGCTGCTCTGAAATGCTTGGGCGCAAGCGATCCTCCCGCCTCAGCCTCCAAAGTGCTGGGATGACACCTGTGAGCCACTGCACCCAGCCCATCTTTATCTCTGTGTCTTTCTGCCTCTTCCTCCAGGTCCCCTGTCTGCCCATCTGTCTGTCTGTCTGTGTGTCTTTCAGTCTCTCTCTCCCTTCTGTTCACTCAGCACTCCCTTTCTCACCTCTCTGCGTCTCTCTTCTGCTTCCAGTTCTCCCTCCCCGTGTCTGTCTTACATCTCGTTTGTGTGTTTGCCTCTCTCTCCTGATTTCACTTTCCCTCCTGATCTGCCTCCCACCCTCTCTTTCTGTCCACCTGGCTCCTGCCTCTCTGCGTCTCCCTCTCTTCCTTCCACACTCTTTGTCCCTTGGAACCTCCCAGGGAGACCCAGATGAGAAGGTGACTGGCTCCTCTCCCTTTTCCTCCCACCTGCAGTGAGACGGTCATCTGTTCCAGCCGGGCCACTGTGATGGTTTATGATGACGGCAACAAGCGATGGGTCCCTGCTGGCGTGGGTCCCCAGGCCTTCAGCCGCGTCCAGATCTACCACAACCCCACAGCCAATTCCTTCCGCGTGGTGGGCCGGAAGATGCAGCCCGACCAGCAGGTGCAGCCTCGCGCCAGCCCCCTCTCTGCAGGCTGAACCCCTGCCTGCTCCACTCCTCCGCCTGCCGCCCCTCACCCCCTTTTCCCCTCCCGCCAGGTGGTCATCAACTGTGCCATCATCCGGGGCGTCAAGTATAATCAAGCCACCCCCAATTTCCATCAGTGGCGTGATGCCCGCCAGGTCTGGGGCCTCAACTTCAGCAGCAAGGAGGATGCCGCCCAGTTTGCCGCAGGCATGGCCAGTGCCCTGGAGGCGTTGGAAGGTCAGAAACGGCACTGGGCAGCGAGCAGGCAGAGGGGACCACCGAACACGGCTGTGTGTCCTAGGGATGCCACTTTACCACTCTGGGCCTTGGTTTACTCATCAGTAAAGTGGTGCGAATTCATTGCTGTCACGGAAAATGATCATGAGGATTTTGTGCGTTCCAGTGTGCCTGTGCTCACCTATGTATAAAATGCACGATTGGCTAGGCGCGGTAGTTCATGCCTGTAATCTCGGCACTTTGGGAGGCCGAGGCAGGCAGATTACCTGAGGTTAGGCGTTCAAGACCAGCCTGGCCAACATGGTGAAATTGCCTCTCTATTAAAAATACAAAAATTAGCAGGGCGTGGTGGGGCGCACCTGTAATCTAGCTACTTGGGAGGCTGAGGCACGAGAATCGCTTGAACCTGAGGGGTGGAGGTTGCAGTGAGCCGAGATTACGCCCCTGCACTTCAGCCTGGATGACAGAGCAAGACTCCATCTCAAAAAGAAAACAAGGCCGGGCGCGGTGGCTCAAGCCTGTAATCCCAGCACTTTGGGAGGCCGAGGCGGGTGGATCACGAGGTCAAGAGATCGAGACCATCCTGGTCAACACGGTGAAACCCTGTCTTTACTAAAAATACAAAAAATTAGCTGGGCATGGTGGCGCGTGCCTGTAATCCCAGCTACTCAGGAGGCTGGGGCAGGAGAATTGCCTGAACCCAGAAGGCGGAGGTTGCGGTGAGCCGAGATCGCGCCATTGCACTCCAGCCT